TTTCAGCAAAGCGTTGCAGGAAGGCCTTGTATTATGGCGAGGGATCGAGGCAGAGAGACCGGATTCCGCAGGGCTGCCAAGGTCAGACTCCCCTAGAACACAAGTTCATGTTCTTTCCCACCAGTATACCGTCACAACGACGCAGTGGAGGAGTCGGTCAAACCCCCACGAAAGGAGGTGTTCCGCCGTACAGTGAACTTGGCCTCGTCCCAACCACCAGCAAATTCGGCTTTTTTATCGACATTCCTCACATCATCACAAAGTCACAGACACAGTCTCCTGTCGAATTTTGGCGTGGGCAACGTTTGAAGAGGCGAATCGTGGAAAACAAGAGCAAGGAACCACTGATCAGGAATTGAGTAATCGAGCAAATCGAGACATACCTTCTTCAACTGGCTGTTCGGTTCCTTCTTCGCATCTTTCGTATTGCGCTCCCTTTTTTGGGCAGCCTTGGCTCCGTTACCCATCGTGAGAGAGGGTTTTATTTGTCTGACGTGGACGTGAAGCGATATGTATTGCGCGGTCGGTTAGGCCGGAGTGTGGAGCGGTGTCAAAGCGTCTCTTGACTTTGCGTTAGGTCCGGAGGAGAAAACAGTAGAGAAGAGGACGGGAGGAGACAAAGAGCCAGGCCGAGAACGTGGAAGAAAGAAAATGGGCGGTCAGAAATATTTTGTTTGCGGGCGAAAAGAAAAAGGTGGACAGCATGAGAAGATTATAGGCCAACAAACCAGCGGCAACAGCGGGCTTCGGCACAGGAAAATCTTACAGCCGGCCCACCTACGATAACCTGACAAAGGGCACGTGCATGGCAAACCCAGGCATGTTGGAACGCCAGCCACCAGGTATGCTGGGCCATCCAAGGGGTCTTAATTCATAAGAGTCCTCTTCGTGCTCTTCAACTACTAGTAATAGGAAGCTAACGCCACGGTCAACGCCCAAACTAAATGTGTTAACACCCTTTCTTTTTGAAACCACAAGACACCTCACGACCATCTTTCGTCTAGGTTGAAATCCTGTTAAACTGCAACCCCGTCCGGATGTCGCCAAACTTCGCGTGCCAGATGTCTCGAAGGTACGAGCTCCTAGGCACCCACGGTCCTCGATTGCCACCTTTGGGCAATGTATTGGCCTCTTGGGCTGCCTTGATGTAGCTACTGTTCAGGTTCAAGAGAGGCACTTCACTGATATGATCCTTTTCATCAATCCGCGGAACCATACTTGTCATGTTCTTTTCCTTCATCTCTTTGAGGAGACGAACCCACAGCTGTGCCGTGGCATCGGCGCCCAGGGTCCAGCTAGCATTCGTGTAGCCGAAGATGAAGGTGAAGTTTGGTAGATCCTGTAGCAAAGCACCACGCCAGATGAACTTTTGGTTCATCTGGTAGGGCTCACCATCGACCGTAACATTAGCACCACCACCAAACTGGATTTTGAGACCCGTGGCGGTGACGATGATGTCCGCAGGGAGAGTCGCTCCTGACTTGAGCTTGATCTCGCCGGCGCTCATGTCTTCGATTGTGTCGGTCACGACATCGGCTTTGCCAGTGCGAAGCGCTGCGAAGAAATCGCCACCTTGAAGAAATCAGCGATTTGCCCAGCGTACGGTTTTCGACGGATTAGTAAAAACTCACCAGGAGTAATACACATTCTTTGCTCCCAGGGATTGTAGCGAGGAACAAAATGAGGGTCGAAAGGAATATTGGCAGGTAGCTCCTTTTGGGTGGCATCACGCAGGATAGATCGACCCTTGTTGGGGAAGAGTCGACAAAATTGAAAAAACAAGAAGCCGACGAGGAGGAATCTGAGTCGGATGAGTTGATACGCGAACTTTTCAGGGAATACCCGCTTGATAAGAGCATCAATGGGCTCGCTCAGGGGGACGGGCAGGAAATAGCTGGGTGATCGTTGAAGCATCGTCACCGACTTGGCCTTTTCGGTCATGGCAGGCAAGAGGGTGACGGCGGTGGCACCACTGCCGATAATGACGACTCTCTTGTCTGTATAGTCGAGCTCCTCGGGCCAGAATTGAGGATGGACAACGGTGCCCTTGAAGTTCTCAATGCCAGGAATCTTGGTGCTGAGCCCTTGAGTATAGTCATAGTAGCCGGTACCCAGGAGGATGAATCGAGAGTAGTACTTTCGCTTCTCGGTGCCATCGACGGTGACTTCAACTTCCCAATGTTGGTTCTCAGTTGACCAATTCATCGACTCGACCTTGTGGTGGTATTTGATGTTTTTGTCGATGCCATGTTTGGCGGCAGTAGTCTTGACATATCGCAGAATCGAAGCAGCATCAGCGATGGAACGGTCTTCCTTCCATGGATCCCAGGGGAACCCAAAAGTGTGTAGATCAGAATCAGATCTGATGCCAGGGTACTTGAACAAACTCCAGGTGCCACCGATCTCGGCCCGTGCTTCGAGGATGGCGTACGAGAAGTCGGGGAGACCTTCTTGAAGACGGTATGCAGAATTGATGCCGCTGATGCCGGCGCCAATAATGATGACGTCGAAAGTGTTGTTGGCCGCAATCATGATGAATTGTTGTACCGGCGTTGACTAGGTAGCGATGGTGAGAAGACAATAGGAGGCGAGTTATGGCAATATATGCGCCGGAGGACATGCCTGGTCGGTGAGCTGCGTGAGCAAAACGGCTAGGGTCGATTAAGGCCCGAAATCCGTCCACCAGATCCAGTCTCCCCAGCAAGACTGGGAATGGAACGGCGAACCTCGGCAAAGCATACGAGTAGAGTCTAGGCCATCGGGCCTAGCAAAACAATTAGGGGCAGATCAATGCTATGATACAGAGGCAATCTGGGCACGACAAGATGGATTCAAGATTTGGCCCAGCGTCTACCACATTGTAGGTAATCCGCCGACAAAACTGGCAAGAGTGCGCCGAATAGAGTGCTTACTTACGAATGAATACCCGTACCTAGCCCACCAGTAAAAGGGAGGCGAAGTGGTTGTACGGACTAGGTTGTGGGGGACTCCCCTAGGCGCTGAGGAGCCCTGGAGCCTTAATAATATCTGACCACATGGTGGTGCACATGCCACTCACATGCCACTCGCTACCCACCCCCGGCAGCCGTATTTCTTGTCTGGGTGTCACTAGATGCCTATGCCGATTTGCACCCTGCGGGCCTGTCCCACCCCCACAATATGTGATCCTTTCCCCCTCTTACGACGACTCACCCGTATCTCGTATTCATGAATGCTCGGATGCTCCCAGTGAAGAAACACCGAGGTATCATCGATAGAGGAGGCTCACTGCATGCCAATGTGCAGATACGAAGGAAAATACTCTTGCCTTGCAGTGCCAGTCGAATTTCATTCGTTGTCGTATGCAAATGCTTCCTTCTTCACACCTGACGTTCAATCATTCCACCAGAGCATTCCCGCCTTCGTCGACCAGATGGTTCTCCACACTCTCTGGCCCTCCTCCCACCGCTGTACAAATGACCCGACTGACACCCGCCTTCAGCGTCATCAGCGTCTTCTGTTCCAATCCTCCATATTCGTTCGGTCGAATAGACTCCCCGAACCCGCCCTCCCAACCTGGGATACGGGGTAAAATGTTTCTAAACACTCCTGCAACTTGGTGTGTGTGTTCTTCCAGGTAGTAAATCACTGCATTCGGCCCTGCGTCGAACGTGTATGCGCAGATGAGCTTCCCTGCTTTCCGATTTGCCGTCTCCACGGCATTCATCGCTGCGCGGGAAACATCATTCAGGTAGTGGATCGGGGGCCATGAATCCAAACAGATGGCGTGAAACGAATTCGAATCCTGCATCGTAACCCGTGCAAACGTCTCGAAATCTTTCTCCGCGATTGCCTTCTCTATTTCCTGCATCCTTTTGGGGACAATCTCCTTGAATCTCGTGGGTGCTAGGGTGGATGTCTCGACCGTGGTTTGCATACCTGCGGTTGATGCGATACCCTTCTTCTCAGCACTGACGACAAGTATCAGTGCCCGCATTTCCGGCCAATGTGATACTGGTGCCACCTCTTCAGCCAAGCTGTCACTTCCATCCGCCTTCGTACCAGCTCGCCATGCCACATAGCCGCCCATCAGACTCCTGCAAGCTGATCCAGAGCCTTGCCGAGCAATCAACGAGAGCTCTTTGGGCGATTGAGGTAACTCGTAGAGGTCAGCGATTGCTCTTACGAGAGCCGCGAACCCAGCAGCCGAAGAAGCAAGACCGGCCGCGGTAGGGAAATTGTTTGTCGACACCAGTCGCAAGGTCCATTTCGACAGCTTGGGTAGAGAACCGTCCTTGGCTTCCAATGCCTCACGTAGCGAACGAAGGTCTCTCAGGCACGCTTGCGTTCTCTTCGAAGACTGAATATCCTCCTTCTCCCCGTTGAGTATCAGAGTGTCTGGCCCCGAGAAGGATTCGGAACATGATGCGGTGGTGTGGGTTCGTAGTGACTTCTGAGATAATGTCACCGACAGGGACGAATTCGTCGGGAGATTCAGGACTGTATCACGCTTTCCCCAGTATCTGTAGTTCCAAGTCGATCAGTCTTTGACCTTCAATGGGGATTACCATGTTCGATGAGAGGAGAGCTGAGGGATTAATTGGCGTACCTACTTGATCACAGCAATGTTGACTGGAGCAGTGGTACTTGCCCGATAGACGGTATTTGAGCTAGACATGATTGTGTCTGTACAGGGGTTTAGAGCCAGATGGAATTGTGCAAAGGACAAACTCGATCAAACGGCGGGAAAATTAGTATGTAGTGTGACGCTAGAGGTAAATAAGGTCGCCCTGGATCGGGACAAGGCTGGTCTTGTGCCTTTTCAGCAGCCACATCAATTACAAGCATCTGATTACAAGCACGTACCAGGCTGCGCTCCCCGCATACTACACAAATTTCTCCAGAGGCGACGAGCTTCCTTCCCATTGTAACCCTTCGCTCATCGCAACAGATTAAATCTTCTGCGCTTACGGCCGTCTAAATACATATTCCGACATAAACATTGAGAGGCAGATATTTCAATGGGCTGGTGGAAAGCAGATCCCGCCCCAGAGCCTCATGCGCCACCCGCAGTATCCTCAGTCACTACTCAAGATCAATCCAGTCACCACCTCCCACAGCAACTCCCTGCAGATTCCGCCTCAGCTTGCCCGGTCGACCCCAAAACCAGAGAGATATGGCTCCAGCAGGCCCAACAGATAAAGGGTTCACAGTCAAAAGGAGAGACACCGTTGCGCAACCCACAACAGAGATCACAACCTTCCCTCCCGCCCTCGCATCCTCCGCTTCCCAAGGCGACAGCAATATCATCTCAAGAATGCTCCTCCGACCGTATTTCACAAGATCCTAGCCTCGAGACTCACTCTGGCTACCAAAGCGCACGGCCCCTCTCACACGGCCGTGTGATCTCCTCCATTCCGCGCGCCTTTCCGCAATCCGCGCAAGCTCTCTCTCCCTCTGAGCCCCCTCCGACGACAAGCGTCCCAGCAAACTCCGAGTCTGAAACGGGAACATCATCCAGTGGCAATTGGATCTATCCGTCGGAGCACCAATTCTTCCACGCCGTGATGCGCAAACAGACGCTCTCGTCGTCGAACCCGACCGACCTAGCCACATCGGTGTCCGCGATCATCCCGATCCACAACGCAGTCAACGAACAGGCCTGGGTGCTGATCAAGCGGTGGGAAAAGGGCACCTCGGACGCCTGCGGCGGTCCCAAGTTGCTCTCCTTCCAAGGTCTGGGCGCGGGAGCAAAGTCCCCAAAGGCGAGATGGAACTCGCTCTGGGGCTACACCGAACCCTTCGATCGACACGACTGGGTGGTCCAGCGATGTGACGGCAGCAAAGTTGAGTATGTCATTGATTTCTACCAAGGCAAGGCCCGTGAAGGGAAGACTGGGCAGCAGGGAAATAGTGCCCTCAATTTCTATCTCGATGTACGGCCAAAGTTAAATACTATGGAAGGATGGAGGATGAGAGCGGAACAGTTGCTTGGGTTGAGGTAACCTGGACTTGGGGGCGCTGGAAGAAACGCCTAGAGAGGACTGGTAATACCCGCATGTCACCACGGTAGGGTTGGCAAATTGTATAGTAATGGAGAAGGGAGAGAGTATCACTCAATTAGCCGAAGTGCGTATGCTGTGTACAAATCTCAAATCGATTCAAGTCTATCTCCTGATTAAGTACAACTCCGTTTCACTCAACCCTTACACAGCTTGAGAAATCCGGCCGATAAGATGCCTTCTGGACTCTGTCTGACCGTGCCTCGTGTCTATCAGATGCTATCACAGCAAGAGACATGGAGGTAAGGGAGATTGTGTTGGATTCAACGGATGGTGGGATGGATAGTGTGGCCTGGAAAGGAGCTCGACCAAATGCCTTTCCCCCGCCACTTCAACCGCCGTGTCCCACGCCTGGCCTGTACAAAATGTATTCCTCTCATTGCCGGATGCAAGTCCCTCTGATCAAAAAGGGGTGTTAATGAAAGAGACACTCCGTGGCTCACACGTATGCTCCCGATTAGACGCCCGTTACCCATGATGACAAATGAAAAAGCTGCAACACGAAAGTCGGGATGGAAGTCGAATATTGGTCGTTTCAAGTCGTTAGTCCCCAAGGTATATGCACCCATGCAGCCATCCGCCCTGAACAAAGGAAATTCGTGAAGTGTAACGTGTGTATCCATGGCTTTGATGCAAATGTGTGCTGGTTTCGTTCTGTCTTTCACCAGTTGCCTGTTCGAATCATTGGCTGTTCCATGCCATATGTGTTTGAAAATAATTGTTGCCGAATGCTCTGTTGTTGCGACGGTTGATTACTTTGTCTGAGCCAGCCGAGTGCCTGCATCAACTCATCATAGGCTTCACGTAGTCGGCCACCACTCTTTTCGTTATGCACTCGAAGTTTCTCTTCCCAGCCGTTGAACTGCAGTTGATACCCTCCGCCTCTTTTGCTGGCCTCCTTGATGACACTGGCCCATGCCTTTGAGATTTCCTCGTATGCATTTTGTTTGGCGAAATTATGTTGAGGGTTGTCCCATTCCGGAAGATCATGAATAATTCGGGTGACCTCGTTCAAGTACTCGAGCGATGTGGATGACTGATGCTCATTTGGCGGCAAGAAGTGAGGAGTGAAATCTGTAAGAGCGTCGAGGAGTTGGTGCCACTGAGGACGTACACGATCGTAGGAGTAATCAGAACGGGGATTCGGTCCCAGGGGAAATGAGTCCATCAATCGTGTGAAATACTGCCGCAAGACTTGTAGGGTGCTTTGGATGCTGGGTCGAGGGCTGATTTGGACAACTTCATCCCGAAGACTTGGGTGTCTCTCACACAAAGTCTTCAGCACGGATGTCAGGGACTCCTTGTCTAATGTTTCAAGGAGTCTTTCCACTGATAACGGTCTCCCGATCAGATTCGGACGGGCTCGTTTCCGTGAATTCGGTGTAGAGGTATTGGGGAGTCGGGCGTTTGATATGGAGGGTGATGTTGACATTTCATCGTCTCGATCTGGGGAGGGGGAGGCTTTTCGTTTCCGAGACGGACCCGAGGCAGACACTGATGTGGCGGTTAGCAGGTTGGAAGAAACCAGCTCCTCTGGAGATTACTCACTCGATCTGTTAGGAGAGAGACGGGAGTGTTCGTGGAAGTGAGGAGGGACGGGGGGCGTGGCCAGGCTATTCATTTTGGCTCTGGCCTTTGGACGCCCGATGATATCCAGGTGCGATGTTTACTGCAGTTCAAATGGAGGAGACGACGATGGTACAGAGATCTGGAGATGAAGATGGGAGTAACGATAGTTAGGGAGCGAAGTGTCTACTCTGATAACTTCCCTGTCCTTGTAGGCAGAGCAGCGGTGAAGAACTGAGAGACGGGAAGAGAGGTGGTGATGTGGATGTGATGTGACGGGAGGAAAGTCCAGGTTTGAAGTCTGAGTGGAGGGTCAGTTTGTCAGTTGGCGTTGTGGCAGCTGCGGGTCAAAGTGCCAATGATACAAGGGCATCCAGGGCTTTTAGGCGTATAACCTCTGTAGCCTTGGACCCTTTGATTTGCTGCCCTTCACTGGACCAGACCCTTAGCAAACCCTCTAGGCATCCACTTCCTACAAAGTGCTGGTCGCTGCCCAATCCATACCCACTCCCTTGGTCAACCGAGGACTGGGCTCATGCAATGCTGGGTGGTTAACTTTTCTTACATCGACTTGCAGAACCAGTACGAGACAAAGACAAATACGAGGCCCCATGCCGAATGGCACAAAGAAATGGATGCTGGACAAGGCGCAGGCAGGCCCCCCTACAGTTACGCAGCTGGATGCCAGCTCACAGTCGCCAGGACGAAGTTCGAATAGAATTAAAATTGTGTCAAGAGAAGGGGCACATGGTCGTGATGGGAGGCTATGTAGAGCTCTTCCGTTGGTGCCGTCGGTACCGCAGCCATGATTTGTTGTCGTAAGCAAAAGAGATTCGACCAACACACTTGTCTTCCAGCATCGAACATGGTCTCAGGCAATAGCATCACACCTGGTTGTCCATGTCAAGCGCCATCAACCTGTGCATGTCTTACTATCACCAAACAAGGCCGTGGGTATCGTGTAGTCACAAGAAATCATCTTCTCCAACAGCTCTACTGGTTGGATCGGCAGGATAGGCGTCGTTGGCTCGTCGCTCTAAATGGTCAAGTCTAGAGATACAGCGACTGAGCTGCCACGATATCTCGCCTTACCTTGTTCAACGCCTCCTCGAACTTCTTCTCCAATTCCTCGCTTCCCATGACTTTCGAGGCTTCCGCCATCTGACGCAATGCTTCTTCCAGCCGGCGAAATGTACGGATCAAGCTGCCTTCGTAGACATCGGTCATTTTGCTATACCCACAATCAGCATTGGCCACTTCCAGGCAGCTTTCCGGAACCTACCAAATCTCCCCGAATGATTTTCCATTCGCCCAGGCGTACATCACTGGCATAAGCTGCCATTTGAACCCTTGGACATACTCTTCCTCATTCATAGCCAACTTCGACTCTACCGATACCTTGGCGATATGTCGGGCTTGTCTCTGTATCTCACGCAAGGGTTTGGCAAGTTCCTCGGTCAAGTTAGGGGTCTCATTGACCTTTTCTTCAAAAACAAAGCAGCTCATGACAGCTGCACAGAGCTCCGGTGTCAAGTCGTTGAAGAATCGGTTGAAGAGAAGCTCACTAAGCATCAGTTCGTCCCCGGTGCTGATCTCACATGCGACGCGCGCCTTGAGTTGCACCACTTCATCTTCGTTGATGAACTGCAACCGGCGTAGTACCCGCTTCCGGCATTTCAGCTCTTCCAATTGCATAATTGCATGGGCATCTTGAATTTGCTTCTTCAGGCTTCGAATCTTATTGGTAAGCGAGACCTTGGCCGCGTACTGATTGTAAAGGCCCTCGAGGCGAGGAGAGTGGTGCAATGGGTTGGCCACCAACCTAGACTCCATGATCTCGATTTTTCGGAGTAAATCCTTGAATGAGTTGTCGGTGATTTTCATATTTTCAATCGGGTCGAGGACAGCCAGCCCGTCAGGAAACCGTCTCTTCACTTCTGCTAACGCCTGCTGGACCTTCTTTTTCTCCTCGGAGACCGTCATGTCGGCAGGTGGAAATATGCGAATGTGAGAGATCTTTTGGACACATTTGAGAGAGACTGGGACGACTTCGATCTTGGACTTCTCACCAGGCTGAGGAGGACGAATGCCATGGGGCAAGGATTGAAAAGTCTTGGTCGCCGGAGCTGGGCCATCGGCCACCTCCAACGCAATGTCGAGAATCCACTCCTCCTGAGGTGTCAACTTTTCCGTCGACTTGCTCTGGCTTCTTTTTGTGAAGTTCAGTACAGCTCCCCAGCCAAAATCATGCTCGCCATCCTTGATCTCTACCAGACGACCCGGCTGCATGAAAGGCAGACAGTAGTTGGGATGAATAATAACCATACGCATGTCTTCCGCATAGATGTCAAGCTGTTTTCGAAGCTCGTAGTAAGCTCGGATGGAGCTTTCGTCTTCAAGAATCATTGCCGACCTCTCTGCTTCCAATTGCTGCAGTTCCTTCTCGAGCCCAGAGACACTAGCAGTGTTTTGGAATTGGTGAAAGCACCTTTCAAGCATGAACTCGGGAGAGATACCTTCGACTCGAAGCAAGTTAAGAATCATGTTGTAGCCAAGATAGAATGCGGAGTTCAGTTTATCCTGTTCGCCACGAACAATGTCCTTGGCAACACCGGGCTCCATCTGCTGGTCAATCATCATAATGACAATCCCACGTTCGTCAAGACCACGCCGTCCTGCACGACCAGACATCTGGATAAATTCAGATGGCGTGATCCATCGTTGCGAGATACCGTCGAATTTGCGAACGCTGGTGAAGACGACCGTCTTTGCTGGCATGTTGAGCCCAATAGAGAATGTCTCGGTTGCAAACAGAACCTTGATCAGCCCCTCCTGAAACAGAATCTCAATTGTTTCCTTGAGAATTGGCAACAAGCCAGAGTGATGGATACCAATGCCTCGCCTCAGCAAAGGTAGTAAGTGCTGGATTTGTGGCAAATTCTTGTCCTCGGGGGAAAGCATTTCCAAAGCGCTGTCAAACACCTTCGAAACCATGGCCTTCTCAGATTCTTCATTGAAGGACATGCTGCTCATTTGAATGGCATACGCCTCGCAATCTCTCTTGCTGAAGCTGAACACAATGACTGGGTTGTAGTTCTTGGTCATGATCATGCGGACAATCTTATAAATATCGGAAGGACCTCTAGTGCCTCCTTTGTTCAACCTCTTGTCTCTTCCTTTGCCCTTCCTACGGGCCAAGGCATTTGCAGGATCGTCACCTTGTTTGTCTGCAATGGAACTCATAGCTTTTTGGAAGTTTTCTTCCCTGAACACGCCCTTTTCATCCACGATCAAATGAATTCCATCTGCACCAGCAGGAAAGAAGTAGTGTTGTAAAGGAGTTGGCCTGAAGTCTGTGTAGACAACGTGACATGGTTGATTATGGGTTTTCGTGATCCATTCAGCAAATTGCATTGCGTTTGGAATCGTTGCTGACAAGAACACATAGTGAACTTTGTCCGGTAGTAGAATGATTGTCTCTTCCCATACAACGCCTCGGACTTTGTCTCGCAGGTAGTGTATCTCGTCGAAAATCACCCAGCCCACTTCACGCATAATCTCAGACCCACGGTAAAGCATTGAGCGAAGAATCTCGGTAGTCATAACCAGGCAGGTGGCTGTAGGATTGATGGTGACATCGCCAGTCATGAGACCAACATCGCCAAAATCAGCTTGAAATTCTCGATATTTCTGGTTGCTGAGTGCCTTGATGGGGCTTGTGTAGATGACACGCTGATTGTTTTTAAGTGACTGGGCAATTGCATATTCGGCAACGACGGTTTTGCCTGCGCTGGTATGAGCGGAGACAAGGACACTCTCATTTCGTTCAATGGAGGCAATAGATACTTGTTGAAAGGGATCGAGCTGGAATGGCCACGTCCGAGCAGGTTCTGCAGGCGGTTTGTGCTCTGAGATGGGCACATAGTCATAGTCTGGTGGCAAGGCAACTTGGTGACGAACTTGATGTGACAGGATGACCTTCTCTTCCTCTTTTCCTGGGAGCAGGCCAGCAGATGCTGCTACCTCTCTTGACTGTTCGGTCTCGAAGGTATCGGTGACGACGGGTTCTGGTTCGTCTTCCATGCGCATTCGTTTGACCTCTGGTGCATCTCCATCCGTCATATCCTTATCGACATCTCCCGAAACCGAGGCACTCCCATCACTAGAGGGAGCAGTTGCTTCTTCACCGTCAGGATCATCCTTCACTTCACCATTAGCCTGTCGCTTTAACCGCTTTCTTTGTGCTTTCGTGAGCGTGGTAGCCGGTGGTACCTGGCCGTTTTCTTCGAACACATCAAACAACTCGTCCATTTTCAGAAGGCTGGAAGATATATTCTCTTGACGTAGAGAGAAAGTCGCAACCATCGGCAATGAAAATCATTGCTGCGGGAATGAGAGACGAGAGAAATGTTGGAAAAGTCCACAAATGGAAGGTGCGCCGAATAGTGCCAAGTCTAGTGGAGAGCTCCATAGCAGCTTCGATCATTGAGGACCAACATCACCTTACTTTTGCTAATCTCTTACAACACCACCATTACTGGAGCGAGAGAGACGAAAAGGTATGGCCAATACAATTCGTTCTTGCTTTGTACTGATATACCCTCCAGATGAATACCCAAGCTATCCTCCGCGCCAGAATGGCAACCCAACTCATCGCCCGCCGCGGCTTCTCCTCTACCGTCCGTCGAGCAGACAACTTCAGCCCTTATCACTACCCTGAAGGACCTTATACCAACTTGCCTTTCAACACGAAGACGAGATTCTTCTGGCTGCGATACTGGGGTTTCATGTGTAAGAATACTTCCGACTTTGAAGAAACACGGGACTAAATGGAGAGTAGTCACAGGATTCGCGATTCCTTTCGGCTTGGCCGGTAAGCCCTGGTTAAGAGAACATCTTGTAAGAGATATGCTGACGCATACACAGTCTGGCACACGTACAAGGCTTAAGAAATCTAGAGAGTGTGGAGTCTATTGGGGAATATTGAATTGCGTGAGGAACCAGTGCGGGAATGGCGCTCTCGCAACTGGAGTTTGTACAGAGCCAGAAATAAAAAATCATATCCGCCATCATGGGCTTCAATCCTTCTTGTCCGCATTCTTTCCTCGTCCCGAAGATAACGTCCTCGTGCTGGTTTGCCTTGTCCATCGCGCCCTCCAGAAGCAGGAGGCTGTCCAATCAGAATGCGCGTAATGTTCCACCACCAAAAATTTATGTCCCTAAAGACCTCTTTTCGTATACTTGTAGAACTTCAACCTTCCTGTTTCTTTCAGGCTGTATGATCGAATCCTAACTCCGAACTGTCACCATGCGAAATTTGAGGACCATAGCGTATCATGAGACTCGGCTACCGGATGATTTGCCACTCACAGCGACAGCCTGGGACACGACCCATAATGCAATAATCTGTGCATTTGGTCCAACACCTACACAGCCTATCATCGAACTGAAGAGACGAGTCAAGACCTCATCTTCCCAAGACGAGTTCGTGGCCATCACTTCGTGGGATTCACCGTGTCCGCTTCCACATCTACAATGTGATGAAATCCTGCTGCTCCAATATTTCCCTGACACTAGAACATCATGCCTTGTGCTCGCGGGCGGAGATGTTGTGGTTGTGCGCGAGGATCCAGGTCCCGGACAAGAGAGGATCGAAATTGTTGGTACCGTCGACATCGGAATCTGTGCTGCTGCATGGGCCCCAGACGAAGAACTGCTGGCCATCGTCACCCGTGCAGACACCCTCGTGCTGATGAGTAGGACTTTCGAACCTCTCAATGAAGGCACTCTATCCCCAGACGACCTCAAAGTTTCCAAACATGTCTCTGTAGGTTGGGGTCACAAGGAGACTCAATTCCAAGGTCGTCGCGCCAAAGCAATGCGAGATCCTACCGTGCCGGAAAAGGTCGACGAGGGCAAGTTGAGCCCTTTTGAGGATGACAAGGTCACGATCAGTTGGCGAGGAGACGGGCAATACCTTGCTATAAGCAGCGTGGTCCCTGGTCAACGTCGAGTTATCCGGGTTTTCACGCGTGAGGCTGTCCTGGACAGCGCTAGTGAACCTGTCGATGGTATGGAGTCGGCATTGAGCTGGAAGCCTTCGGGAAATCTCATTGCCAGTGTTCGCCGATCCGAGACAAAGCTGGAGGTCATCTTCTTCGAGAGAAACGGTCTCCGACATGGTCAATTTGATCTTCGAACGACGATACAAGAAATGGATGAGTGGGCGTCTAGCCTTTCCCTCTCATGGAACACAGACTCCACCGTTCTCGCCGTCACCTTCAAGGATAGGGTGCAGTTTTGGACGATGGGAAATTATCACTACGATCTGAAACAAGAGATCCTACTCCATTCACCACGCAGCAACTGGCCACTGAGATGGCATCCTGAAATTCCTCTGAGGATGTGCTTCGGCACAACCAGAAAGCTCTTGGACCTCACCTTCCTATCCGCGGTGTCAGCAGGTAGCATAGTCCCTCCCCAAGACTATGGCATCGTTGGAGTCATTGATGGCAGGACACTAAAGCTTACTCCCTTGAAGCAAGCTGGTGTGCCACCACCGATGGCTTTCTGTGAGGCCGTTTTCGACCACAATATCATTAGCTGCGCCTTTGGTCGAGATTGCCAAAGATTTGCAGTCTTAACGACAAAGACATTGGAAATTTGTGAATGGAAAACCCGTGCTAAGGGTAACGGCGATTTGGTGTTTACAACAACCGTTGAGCGGCAGTCTCATCAACATCCGACACTACAGCCAGAAGCAGAACCTTTGTTCTACACTCAGGTGGCTCTTGTCAACGACGATATATTTGTCATGGCGCCAACGCAGTCAGTGGGAGCAACATCGTGTTGGAAATCCACGTGGCCCGAGAATCAGAGCTTGTCTTGGGAACATATCCTTGCGCCTGAAGGTTGTGAAAGCCTCATAGCAGACATATTTTCCGAATCTGTGTTTATTACGAATCCGATTACGGATGCCACAGTCCAGCTCACAGACTATCCGGGGTCAATGGGTATAGAGCCCGTCAAACTGAGCGGTAGTCAGCCCAACAGCTCCATTTTTACCCTTCGCCACATCGCACACCATCAGGCAAATGGTGAGATGAACGGTGACACCCCAGAATACTATAAGGTCTCTTTGTCACTTAAGGGAAATCTATACGTCGACAACAAGCTCCTCGTCCGCGAGGTTACCTCCTACGTGCTCACTTCGACGCATCTAATTTTCACCACCTCTGCACACCTCCTGAAATTCGTCCATCTTACCCCTCCCTCAGCAATGCAAGTCCCCGATGACACGCCGGAGATCGACGAACGATGCAGAAATATCGAAAGGGGTGCACGCATCGTGACTGTTGTCCCGTCCATCTACGCTGTGGTTCTTCAAATGCCGCGAGGAAACCTTGAGACAATCTACCCTCGTTTGCTAGTTCTCTCGGGAATACGCAAGCATCTTAAGCAACAGGACTACCTCGCTGCTTTTCTGGCTTGTCAAACCCATCAGGTCGATATGAACATCCTGCACGACTATGAGCCAGGTATTTTTCTGGCCAACGTGCCCAAATTTATTGACCAACTTAAGAAGCCCAGCCGTTTAGATGCATTTCTTTCGAAACTCAGGGACGAGGACGTCACGCAGACGTTATACCGCGACACGACCTTGCAAGTTCAATCTGACCCAAAGCCACAATCTGCGAACACGAAGCCTGCCAACCTGGTTCCTGGCAGCAAAATCAACAAGATTGCTGACACGTTCCTTTCGAGCCTATCTTCAAAACCTTCCTCTTACTTGCAGACCATCATAACGGCCCATGTCTGCAAGCGACCCCCCGACTTATTCTCTGCCTTGACGCTTGTCTCCGCCCTCCTCGAAACTTCCAAAGAAGAGGCGGACGTTGCAATCTCCCTCCTGTTCTTCCTCACCCCCAATCCCTCCGTTCTATTTGACGCTGCCCTCTCACTCTATGATCTCGAGTTGACGCTCCTCGTAGCGCAGAATGACAGCTCAAGAGACCCAAGGGAATATATGCCCTACCTGCAATCTCTCCAGGAAATGTCGGAGCTCAGACGGAAGTTTGCGATTGACGATCATCTCAAGAAGTACAGCAAAGCTTTGGTTTCATTACATGCGCTCGGCGAGCATGAGCAAGTCGCGACCTACACGGCAAAGCATTCCCTTTACAACACGGCGATGGAGCTGTACAAATACGACCAAGTCCACCTGACCCGAATAACCCGTATGTATGCTGAGTATCTCACGACTCAAAAGTCTCATCATGCCCAAGCTGCTACGCTTTACGAATCACTGGGCGACTACGATTCTTCGCACAAGCTGTACGCACTGGCACATAAGTGGCGTGAGGCACTGACCTGTGCGACTCTTGTGCCCTTGACAGCCCCGCAACTGAAGTCGCTCGCGCAGAGTCTGGCAACAACTTTGGCGGACGAGAACCGGGACTATCGAGCCGCCGCGACGATTCAAATTGACTATCTCTCCAATACTCCCGAGGCAGCAAAACTTCTGTGCCGGGGATCTTATTTCGCTGAAGCAATGCGCGTTCTCGCCCACGATGGCCGCTCTGTTTCCGAGATCCACCAGATCACAGACGCAGGGCTAGGCGAGAAAGTCGGCGAGATACTCGAACTCCTTGCGGACTGCCGTGCACAACTGAACGCACAGGTCCCACGCATCGTTGAGCTCCGCAAGAAAAAGGAGGAAGATCCTCTGGCTTTCTTCGGTGGTGATCCCACCGTGGCTGCGGACGGCGCCGCAGGCGACATCCCGGACAACGTCTCCCTGGCGCCCACGGACGTCAGCACACTGGGCGGCCAGAGTCTTTTCACCCGCTACGGCAGCAACGCCAGCAAGTTCGGCGGCACCGTGGCCTCCAACGTGTCGCGGAAGACGTCAAAGACGAAACGCCGCGAAGAACGCAAGCGCGCCCGCGGCAAAAAGGGCTCGGTCTACGAGGAAGAGTACCTCGTCGCCAGCGTGGGGAGACTGATCGACCGCGTAAACGGCCTCCACGAGGAGGTGGGTCGTCTTCTCGCGGGTCTCTCTAGGCGAGGCATGCGAGAGCAAGCGAGACAGGTCGACGACAACATGAAGGAAATCTGCCAGGCCTGCGAAAGAGCTAGAGAGGACGTCTGGGAGGTTGCCAAAACAAATCCAGAAGATGGCCAGGTTCAGGTCGAGGAGGGCACGTATGATAAAGACGGACAAGGAAGACCTCCTGGAGCAGAAGGCGTGTTCTGGGACAGCCAGCAGGAAAGCCAGAAAAAGAGAGAGGCGCCCGAAGTCAAGGGTTGGAATTACAGCGAGGCTGTAGCTTCATAGCATACGCTCGACCACCTCTAAATGAAGAGAACCTTTGAAATTTTGACTCGATTCTATGGTGTTACCTGACTTGTTCCATCTCTCTTCTCTGGAATAAACGGCCATTTTGAGGATTAGATCCAGACCACCCTGAAGGCTCCAATCTCGGGATCTGATCCTCCGATATTCGGTTCCTGTCCTTGGTACCATCTTTTTGCGCATCTTTCTGAAAAAGACGTCTCTGCGTCGGTTGTTCGACAGCCTTGGGCTTGGCTTTTTCCTGCGCTTCCTCAGGTTCTGGTGCCTGGGTGGCCTTCTTGGCCTGGTTAAGGTCGGCAATCCCAAGACCTTGATCAATCAAATACACCTGAAAGGCTGACAACAACTCCTTCAGCCCAGCTCTTAATCTTGCGATGATGATGTCAACTTCATCAATGCCGCCCGCAACGCCCTGTTTGTGTTTCGATACAAGGTCTTCAATTATGTTGAGAGTTTTTGTAAATGTTCTTACAGTGTCTGGCACTGTCGGAGTGGCTTTGCCGTATGTATCTTCTGTGAGACTGGCAACTTGCATTCTGGTTATTGACTCAATTGCATCAACAATCAATGCTGCGTTTCCATGGGGTGATCCGAGTACCATGGCGTTGATTCGGGCGGCATTTGTGGGCACGAAGAACCAAGCCATGCGACTTTGCTTTAGAGCAGCCATCCATTGATCTGAAATACCTTTGGTTGGCGTTTGAGTCGTGCCTGGCGGCCTCGCATACTCGAGCAATTTTGTTTCGACTGTTTTGGCCGTTTGTTCTATGGGTGGATGCCAGGGCTGTTTACTACTGCCAATTTGTCGCAAAGGACTTGCCAGCAGCCTGTCACCGACGCTTGATTTCGGATTTGCTTGAAAGATCGATTGAGTCGGTACTTCAGGAACAATGCGTGGTAGAGATTTGATTTGGTCTGCACCTACAGGCTGTGGTGCTGCTGGGGGAGGTCCAACAATGCGAGTTTGCACTTCTTGCAATACTTTCAGACCGGCTTGTACCATTTGGCTCCACATTGGTCCGGTAGGCCGTTCAATATCTTCGAAAATAGCCTTTCTTCGTTCTTTGTGTCTGTGGGCAATGATAGCCAACTCCCAAAAGGCAAAGGTTCTTACGACGTCTCGTTTGGCTTTGAGTCCATTAAGGAGTGTTCCATTGGGATCTTTGCTAGAAGCGGAAAGTGGCAACCCAGACTTTGTGGGCTGCTGATTGAGATAAATCACGAACAGGAGCGAAGTCAACTCCCATGTCAGTGTAAGAAGAAATCCGGCACCGAAGCATTGGAGCAAATAAACAGGCCCCAGAGGAGGATATCCTACCGGACGGGCGTTTGCTCTCGAAAGGTTGAAGAATGGTTTTGCCATAGCAAGATGGAGCTGCCAGAAAATGTTTCGCAGGAAGAGGCCATTGATGAAAGGAGCCACAATGATTACGGCTCCTGGAATGAGAGTACTCTCTATGAGCACAGGGAGCATTTTGCGTTGCAGCTGTGTCTGAATAGGTTCGATCGGATGAGTTTCCTGAGCTTTGGTGTCGGGGTTTGGCGTGCTTGACAGTTGTGAGACGGGGATCAGGAGGGTTGAATTTCCGCGATAAGTATGAAGTCCTGCATATGCGACCGCGAGAAGTAAGGCGTAAAGACGGAAGAAGATGGGTTTCTCGTTTAGAATGTCGGGAGTGTGATGGTTTCCTCTTGTAATCCAGCCAAGGTCTGGAGAAGACCAAATGAATGCTTCAGTAAACCACCATCCCGAAATCAAGTACCAGAACAATGTATGCACTGACGATACACTGAGGAAGTTTGTTCTGAAGGTCGCAAAAGGGGAAACTGTCGTCTGTCTGCCGATATTGAGGGTGGCTATTTGGAGGATGAAGACGAACAGGCTGGCCATGAAAAAAAGTAACGCTTTGATCCCAGCAGGGCCAAAAGGAAACCATGACCAGAATAGGTCTTTCTTCGAACCGAGCCAAAAAGCATTATGGAGGGCGATGAGGAGGGAGATGAACGCAGCATGTACGAATCGTTTATGGAGAGCGGAGGTTAAGAATCGTCGGTAGGGTCGAGGGGGAGGGATCAAGGAGGCGGCAGCTGGACTCGCCATGGTTGTTGGCAGGACACTATGAGAATGGTATCATGATATGGTGAAGCAGTCCATCGACCAGCGAGCGCTGCGGGTAGCCGAGTCGCAGGTTTCGGAGAGGTGAAGATGGGAGTCGAAGCGCACTTCCTGAACACCAAATTGTGTTAAACCATGTAAACAAAATTGTGCAGTGGGCAACGTGTTTTCGGGGAATGACGCCAGTCCACGTGATGTGGAGGAGGCTGGTTTCGCAAGTGCCGCATGTCAAGTGCCCTTCCTTCCCACTCTGCAGGCTTCCACTATTCTTTCACAATGATCAGTTAATTCACACCCAGTCTAGCTCTATAAACCATCGAGTGTTTCCTGTATCTCGTGCGATAATATCCCAGGGACAATTTCCCGGCGACGATCGACATGTCTTTCGACAGACTCTCATCACTCGAGTCGCAACCTACTACTACCCGAAGGCAGGACGATCCGCAATACAGAGATGATCCAGAGTTTCAAAAGTTCACCGAGTCGCTGTCTACCCGACTCTTCGAATTGACCTCGAACATCTCGCGACTCTCGAATCAACTTTCGAAAAAGGACACTGAGAGAGGTCGGGAAAGGATACATGACTTGCTGGAGGAGACTAGAGAGGGATTCAAAGAGGTGGGAGATGGTGTCAAGAGGGCGCAAACATGGCCAGACCTAAATGTTAGTTGCCTCACATCGCTTATGCTACAGACACTGATTCCGCCATTAGCCTTCGCAGCGATATACAAATCAGAAGCTCTCACGAGAGTTTGCCTCTGCCCTGTCCGAATTCCAGGTAGTCCAGAGAAGGGCGATAGAGAGAGAACGGGCATCGAAAGCGGCACTCGAAGAGGCTCAGTCAGGTCAATCCCCATCGGCGGAAGGCGGTCAACAACGCCAATTACTTGAAGAACCTCGGCTTGCAGAACAAAGTGAAGTCGACTTTCAGGAGAATTTGATTATCGAACGAGAAGGAGAGATTCGACAGATCGAACAATCAGTGGGCGAATTAAACGAACTCTTCCGAGATGTCGCCCATCTTGTTCGAGATCAAGGCGACATGATCGATGCTATCGACATCAACGTCGAGAATACGTTGACGGACACGCGGGGAGCCGATACAGAACTCAGAAGCGCAAGCCGGTACCAGAAGTCGGCCAGAAACAAGGCTTGCTGTTTGCTAGTAATCTTAGCGGTTGTCCTGTTGATTGTGGTTCTAGCTGTTGTTCTGGGATGAAGAATGGGGTTTGCAGCGTTTTGGCGTTCTTGTTGGCCTTAGATACATGGGCCTATAGCGCCGAATGTACAGTCATTGCGTAGAGTTTTCTGCTCTCGGCTCAAGCAGCATCAACCATGCAATAAAGCCTATGGGCAGCTGCAATTCGGTCGGTGTGACAGGTTCAATTATATGGTTCCAAACTCTGTCAAGTCAAGGCGGGATCTTGAGGGAGGACATTAGATCCAACCTGGACTTTCCGTGGACGAGGGTAGTCTGCTGTCACTATTGTCAATGAACAGATGTAATCGGCACATTCTACGACTATGTAGCTCGTACAAATGTCTTTACGAGGCCATGAGGTTCAGCCACGAGACCGCAAGGCTGCGTTTCAGCCTTGTTCGTGACGCGTGACGTCAAGTCCCCATCTCCTACCGCGTACCCTTTTCCAACCTGGATCCATTCGTCTTCATGATCGGTTCGACTTTGAAATTTACTGTTACCTTCGTAATGGCACGATATGCGATCACCATCCTCACCGGATCATCGACAATCAATACCCGTTTCAACCAGTGACAGAAGGGTGGACATCGCATCTGACTCCAGCGTCACTCACAGCAAGAAGAGAAAAAGCAGTGACATTGAGACTGACAACAAAGGCTCGCAATCAGATGTTTTTACAGCGAAACCCCTCTCTCCAAGCCATGCAACTCTCAACTTTGCACCGGTAACGCTTGTGGCTCGAGCATGTCTGCCTTTAGCATGGCTCAACACGTCCACCGGGACTTGCCGGTTGATCTTTGAAGCAACCATTTTGTCCGTGGAGGAATGGGAACAACGCATTTTGGTCGTCCGTCAAGTCCCCAATGGTGCCCTCCATGCTGTTGAGCGAATTGGCGACTCTGTCTACGTCGCGTGTGCTTTACACAGTTCGATTTCAGAATCCTGGTGCCACGATGCTGCAATTGGCAAAGTAGCCGAAGTCAGAATTGAGGATTTACTACGAGGAGAGGAAGATGGCGGTCCCCGCTCTTCCCTTGCGAGGACCGGGTCAGTCTCGAGTTTGCCAGCATTGCCTACGCCGAAGAGCCCCAAGAAACCAGCAAATCGACGCGGTGCATTGGCTAGGATGTCAATCTTAAAGCCCAATCGTACCATCTTGCACGAGTCTATCACCCCAATATGCTCTCCTGATCTCGTCCAGCAACCGATTGCTCCTTCATTGGATAATCTGGCTGGTCAGGATTTGGCTCAGATTCCCGTTCCTAGTACAGTTATACAGTCAACATCTGATGCACGGTCAACTGTACTGAGAGAGTCTGTGACAGTCACCCACAGCACAGGGTTAGGCTTACAAAACACACTCGACAACTTTGTTCCACCCAGCGAGACTCTTCCCGTGGCACCCGCGCCTCTCCCTACATTACAAAATCCTTGGGCCGACATGAATCCCACGGAACCCGAGCGTCTGCGCACACAATATTTTGAGCATCTCTATACCTCGAAGACATCACTGGCATTCTATGTCAAGGGACCACTGAGTCGGGCACGAGCACATGTGCGATCAGGTGGAGATCCTGCGAAGGGAATATTTGAACTTTCCGAATTTTACGAGCAAATTATATTGCCTACAAAGAAAATTGATCTTAAATACAAGGAGTCTCTGGC